AGAGCTCCTTCAGCCTCGCCTTGGCCTGCTCCAGCGTGGGGCACCCCTCCTCGCCGACCCGCAGCCACTTCACGAAGTCGAAGATGCCCGAGCGCCCGGCTGAGAGGAGGAGGTGGAACGAGACGGACGACCCTGTCAACCACTGCCTGGCGGGCAACTCCCTGCTGCTCACGGGCCTGCCGGGCACTGGAAAGACGCACCTGGCCCGGCGAGGCGGTGCACCTGGTGTCCAAGACGCACTGCTCGCAGAACCTGGGCCTGGGCGCGCAGCGCAGACGGCCGACCACTGGGTGACCTGGATAAGGGTCTGCAGGGGCGACCTCTCAACAGGTCAAAAAAAGGACCCTCTTAGAGTTGCACCGGTCTTTTTCTAACCTGGCTATTCGCATTAGAAGCCCTGACCAGGTCAAAAATAAAGACGCTCCGCAAGGTGCGTGAGGTTTTTTTCTGACCTGCAGTGGGCTTTTGCTTCGTGCCGCGTCATCGGCGGGGAGGAAGGTGCTTGCATGCTTTTGACAAGCCCCAACCAGGTCAAAAAAAGACCCTTGTTGAGGGGGGCGATGTTTTTTCTGACCTGAAGAGGGTTTTTGCTTGGTCCCGCATCAACGGCCGTGGAAGACAAGCCTTAACCAGGTCAGGAAAAGACCCTTTCGGAGGGGGTGAGGTTTTTTTTCTGACCTGAAGAGGGTTTTGTCCCGCGTTGGCGACCGTGGAAGACAAGCTTTAACCAGGTCAAAAAAAACCCTTTCGGAGGGGGTGATGGTTCTTTCCTCCCGCATCAACGGCCGTGGAAGACAAGCTTTGAGTAGGTGAAGAAAAGACTCTTTTGGAGGGGGGTGAGGAATTTGTTTGCTTGGTCCCGCGTTGGCGACCGTGGAAGACGAGCCTTAAACAGGTCAAAAAAACCTTTCGCAGGGGGGTGATGGTTTTTTTCCTGACCTGAAGAGGGGTTTTGCTTGGCCCCGCATCAGCGGCTGTGGAAGACAAGCCTCAACCAGGTCAAAAAAAAGGCTTTCGGAGGGAGGTGGGTTTTTTTCCTGACCTGAAGAGGGTTTTTGCTTGGTCCCGCATCAGCGGCCGAGGAAGACAAGCCTTAACCAGGTCAAGAAAAGACCCTCCGAAAAGGTGTGTGTTTTTTCTGACCTTCCGGGTTTTTTTGCCTGGATAAGGGTCTGCAGGGTGCGACCTCTCAACAGGTCCAAAAAAACTCTCTTATGCACGGGTCCTTTCTTTCGTTCTGGAAGGAAGCTATTCGCATTGGAAGCCCGGACCAGGTCACAAAAAGACCCTTGCTGAGGGGGGCGATGTTTTTTTCTGACCTGAAGGGGGGTTTTGCTAGGTCTCGCGTCGGCGTCACAGGCTCAGATGACAAGCGCCAACCAGGTCAAAAAAAGACTCGGAGGGGGGTCAGGTTTTTTTCCGACCTGTAGGTGGTTTTTTGATGGGTCCCGTGTCGGCGGTCACAAGCTCAGATGACAAGCGCCAACCAGGTCAAAAAAAGACCCTCTCGGGGGGGGGAGATTTTTTTCCGACCTGCAGGCGGTTTTTGCTGGGCCCCGCGTCGGCGGTCGCAGGCTCCACCCAGGTCAAAGAAAGACCCTTCCGGGGGGGGGGTGTGAGGTTGGTTCTGAGTTGTAGGGGGTTTTTGCTGGGTCCCGCGTCGGCGGTCACACGCTCAGATGACAAGCGCCAACCAGGTCAAAAAAAGACCCTCTCGGAGGGGGGGGGATTTTTTCTGACCTGCAGGGGGTTTTTGCTAGACCCCGCGTCGGCGGTCGCAGGCTCCATCCAGGTCAAAGAAAGACCCTTCCGGGGGGGGGGGGGGTTTTGCTAGGTCCCGCGTCGGCGGTCACACGCTCAGATGACAAGCCCCCCCCCTCCAAAAAAGACGCGACGCCTTCGCAGGGGGTCAGGTTTTGCTCTGACCTGTAGGGGGTTTATGTGTCGGCGGTCACAGGCTCAGATGACAAGCGCCAACCAGGTCAAAGCAAGACCTTCGGGCGGGGGGGGGGTAGTTTGTTTTTTGGACCAGTAGGGGGGTCTTGCTAGGGCCCGCGTCGGCGGTCACAAGGTCGAAAAAAGACCCTTTCAGAGAGGGGTGAGGTTTTTTTTGACCTGTAGGGGGTTTTTTGGTCGGTCCCATGTTGGCGGTCACAGGCTCAGATGACAAGCCCCAACCCCTGGCGGAGGGGGGTGATGTTTTTTTTGACCTGTAGGGGGTTTTGCTAGATCCCACGTCGGCGATGTCAAGCCCCAACCAGGGCAACAAAACGGAGGGGGGTGGGTTTTTGTGCTGAGCGGGCGCGCTGGAGCGAGTACGCGTACCATTTGGCAGGCATGCGTGCAGTGCTGAGCGGGCGCACTTGAGCGGGCATGCTTACGATTTGGCAGCCGTGTGTGTAGCGCTGAGCAGGTGCGCTTGAGCGGGTGTGATTACCCTTTAGAAGCAGCGTGAGTCACAACAGGAACAGCAAGAAAGAGCGCGCAAGGACAGCAAAGTGCAAGGACACACTAAAAGCTTGCAATGCTTGCGTCCGTGAGTGATAGTCAGAAGCTATGGAGCCTGGCCGCCGCAGCACATGTGGTTCTCTTTGCTTGCCCCCAACGCAGCCCAAAGTCAATGTCTACTCGCTGGGCAGACGTCTTGGAGGCAAATGGCAGGGTGGGATCACACGCGTTGCAGGGTCTCTCGCGCGTCGAGCTAAGGACATGACAGTGGCAGACATACTTTTCAAGTTCTGGAAGCCGCGTCTTGGTTTGACGGTGAAAACCCCGGTCGCGGGCCAAGATCCTCTGCGGTGTCGCAGGCCGTGCTTGAGAGTGCGGTGCCTATCCAGGTCGGGTGGATCAGTGTGCCCTACACGTCAGACAGGGAGGCGGGCGAGGACAGTTTCGCGCGTTGATCTCGCCGCCCGCTCGGGGCATGCTGCGGAGGAGAAGCAGCCGACACAGCGGCCAACCTCTCAGGCCTCAGCGACTTGAGCGATTGGCAAGCAGCCTCGCGCATGTTTGTGCGCGCGTGTGTGCTGGGCAGGTGCGACGCCGAGGCCCTCAGCGAGCGTGTGGAAGGCTGGACTGCCAGCGTCGCTGGGTAAGTGGCTTGCACTGCTCACAGGGGGGCTGCAGCAGCAATCGAGGCACGGCAGCACGTGCCCAGACACACGCGCGCACACACACACAGACACAAGCAGAGCACGTGCGCATTGTGTGTCTCCAAGCCCTGCGTGTTTGCATCCGAGGAGGAGGCGAGCCATGAGGCTTTGGACTTGGCGTGGAGCATCGCCCAGCAGGCACAGGTGCCCTCACAGGCAAGCGCAGGGCACGTGGGGCATGCGCAGGAGATGGCCACAGGGCTTTTTCTTCCAGCTGGCTGGTGCCAGCGCCCTAGAGTCCTGAGCTTCATTCAGTTTTAGCAACGGAAGCGTGGTCTGAGGCAACGGCATTGGGTGGGGCGGGCCCACAAAGCGCTGGCGACGGTCCTTGTTAGCTGCAGCGTGCCCCAAGGCATGAATCCGGTGTATCTGAGCCAGTCATGGCTGAGTGCAAGGCTGCAGCGGGCAGAGCGTGATGCGGTGAACCAGAAGGTCGTGGTAGTTGCGTGGGTGTGTGTGTGTGTGTGTGTGTTTGCGTGCCAGCTTTGGTTTCCAAGGTCCTGGTCGGCGCACGGGAGCATGAGGAAACAGATTTCGGCAGTCTTGCGTACTTGCTGCTCCCTCGTGTTTCCCCGTGCTATGGTGCAACAGAGGCACCGGCAGGTGTGCGTTGAGAAGTCATGAGGCCTGCGCACTGCGCGCAGGTGAACGCCACTGAGAGAAGTGGATTCCACCGTGCTGCAACGACCGTGGCCAAGTGTGAGGAGCCGTCGGGGTCTCAGCTGCTATCACGGGGGCAGAGTGTGTTTCTTGTTCTGTGAGTCACTCGGCAGCTCTTGGCCTCTGCGCCAGGTGTGCATCGGCAGCAGCGGGCCATCGTGTGCCAGGGTTGAAGGCAGAGGCCCGTAGGAGTAAGTGCTACCCGGCAGCAAGCTGAACTCGCAACTGCGCAGGTATCCTTGACAAGCAAGGAGACTGTGCTGGACACATCCGAGGCAAGCGGCGCAGCAAGGCGGACTTGCTTTACCGATGGGTCCCGCAGTCGTCGGGCGACATCCCGGTGCGAGGCATACGGAGGGGGTCACGTGGAAGCAGCGGCTGCGAAACCTGGCCGCGCGACGCCCTCAGTAGCGGCGCCACAGATGCGAGAGTTTGCAGCGCTGGCTGCCAATGAAGATGGCAGTGTGGCATCCCAACACGGTCTTTAGAGTGCAGCCCTGCCCAGGTACACTTCGAACGTGGTGGGCTCCGTGTGGCAAAGCTGGAGGGGGGGAGCACATGGCAACAAAGAGGGCTCCTCAATGAAGGACAGGCGGCCTTCCGAAGCGTTACTTTTGCGGCGGAAATGGATTGAGAAGATATTGAGTGGTGAAAAAACGTGGGAGATCCGTGGCAGCAAGACCAAGAAGCGTGGCCGCATCGCGCTTGCAGAAGCTGGCTCTGGTATGTTGATGGGCAAGGTGTGCGTTCTGGATTGCGTGCAAGTGGGTTCCCGGGCTGGCAAGAACAGCCCTTGGAGGCAGTGGGGTGAAGAGGCCAACTACCTGTGGAGTCCAGAAAATGTGGCCAAGCATTGCGTTCTGGACCCGGAGGAGCTTCAGTATCAAAAAGCGTACGCATGGGTATTGGCTGAGCCACACCAGTATGAGAGGCCCAGGCCATACACGCACCCACGTGGCTGTGTGACATGGGTGAGGCTTCCAGCGGAAGATGATGAGAGGGGCGCGGCAGCAAACACAGGCAGCGAACACAAAGAGGAAGGTGTGGTCTTGCCAGAAGCCGCAGTGCAGTGGACGGTGGCCGGCTGCTCCGCCCAACAGACTTTGGGAGACGGGGCGTGCGGTGTTCATGCGCTGCTCGGTGTTCCCAACTCAAGTGGCATGCTAGTAGTGTGCTGGAGCGCGGGGCATGGCTGTGGAATCTCTGTCGCGGAGTTTGGCTTGCAACTCATGTGTTCACGCTGCTATTCTGCGTGAATCTTGGTGGCACGAACTAGCTGTTCCGGCTGCCTCAGGTGAGGCCCCGACGCAGGAGGCGAAGCTTTTCTGGTCTGAGTTCCAAGCCCGCTACCCAGAGGGCGCGGAACGAGTGCAGCAGCAAGTGGAGAAGGAGCACGCTGAGAAGAGGAGGGCTCAGGGTGGTCTGGGTGAATTGCGGGAGGCTTGCCGTACATTTTTCAAAAGTGTATCGCATGAAGGGCTGTTGGAAGTATGTGCAAGACTGGACTATGCCTCGACTGAGGCGCAGGAGCTGTGCTACGAACCTCGTGCTGGTCAGTATGTTGTTAAAGGGTCTGGCGGTCTTTGGCCAGAGGGCGGCCCACAGACCAAACTGGAGGCAATGATTGACTGCAGGGCTGTCTTCGATGAGCTTCGCTTGGCGGTGTTTCTGCGGTGTCCTTGCTTGGTGGAAGTTGAAAGCAGTTTGCGGGGGAGTGACATCGACAAGGAGGCTTGTCAAGCCATGGCAGCTGCCGTGGCAGCTTTTCGGGAAGCGCCGCAGCAGACCACCGGGCACACAGGCTCTTTTCTGAGTGAAGCCTCCGCAACTTACCTGGCCATTGTACAGGATCCTAGCTACTACTTCAGCTGTGATGAAATTGCTTTGATTGCCCGGGAGCGTGGTCTCAACGTGATCCTTGCAAAGGAACTTGGGAGGAAGCAATGGGTGGCGGAGGCTGTGGTGCACAGTGGGGCAGGACCATTCCAAGCAATCCTGCTGCGGGGTGCAAGTGGCGCAGGCCATGTGAGGACGCACTTTGAGCGGCTGCAACGCGTGGCAAACGCAGGTGTCGCTGACCTGACGACGGAGCGAAGACACTGGTGGAAGTGCAGGGTTTGCAGCGCCACCTTTTCTTCTTCGATCCTTGTGCCCGAGGGCGGCGTTTGCTGTGGCCATCCTGTGGAGGAGGGGGTCCAGCAGGCCGGAGGGCCAGCTGGTGATGCGCACGCAGCTACACTAGGACAGGGCCCAGCGACGCCATGTGAGGAGCCAGACGCGAGGTTGCCCATCCCAGAGTGGGCTTTGCCAGCCTTGCGGCGCAAGGTGACTGAAGTGGCGGCAGAAGAAGCGGACGCCGACAGCAGGTCGGAGGCCGGCAGCGGGCCCACAGAGGCCGCGGGGTTGCAAGACAGCGGTGCGGAGAGGAGCGGGAAGCCGAAGAGGGAAAAGTTGCCGTTTGCTCACGGCACTGACGGCACATGCGAGTTTGAGCGCGCAGTGGATCTGGTGCTGGAAACATATCGTTCTGGCGGCGCTGTCCATGCGGTGCTCCAGAACCTTCCACACCACAGTGCGCCTGAGCCTGGTCTAGCTGTAGCTTTTCCGTGGAGTCATTTTGCGTGCAGGTCAACACTGTTTAAGTTTAAGTTTGTCTGCCTCAGCCGGTGTAAGCTCGTCAACACCGCACGTGCTTCAGGTGGAGCTGGAAGCACTGCCCTTCGCAGCTCTTGGTCAGCGACTGCAAGATCTTGTCGCAGCTTATGAGATTGATGGCATAGGGTCAACAGAGGCTGTCTGGTTGCAGCCCATGATCTGGCAAGCCTCATTTCTGCCACTTGCTGTTTTGGTTGAGGCCTGGAGCCGAGCCACAGGGCTACCAGCGCTTTTTTACATGGATGCCTTTCACGGCTTACTGCTGGGGTTGCTTCACAAGGATATTACAACTGACGTGGCCGGCTTCAAGTGCCGGAGCCGCTACTGGGCCGTTGGAACCGCGCAGCCAGGGAGTGGAAAAAGCCCGGCAGTTGACCCCATGGTGGAAGCGCTGCAAGAAGTGCTGGAGCAACATCCAGATTTGGCAGCAGGCGAGGCGTGGGACAAGTTCCACATTTGCGATCCGAAGACGCACTGCGCAACAGTGGACAAACTGAGGGATGCAGATGGGTATCTGACAGTCGTTGCCGGGGAAGGCGGACCGTTGCTGTGTCCTTCATGGCCATCAAGCGCCACATGGAACCAAACCACGCATGTCAACCTGCAGCGCTTTCTGAACAGCGCAAATGGCGGCAGCGTCCCGTGGGAGAATGCGATCGAGCGGAAGGGTAAGAAGCAGGCGATGGAGGAGCAAGTCCGAGCGAGCCCCAATGTGCCTGGCGACCGGACGAACGTATCTATAGTTCTTTTCCAGCAGTGCTCTGTTTTCTCGAACTGGTGGGCGGCCGGCGAGCTGAAGCAAGCCATTGGTCTACCGCAGCGGTGCGTCTTTTCCTTTGGAGCTGTGCGAGAGCCGGGGCCACCATGGCTGCAAGGGTTTGAGTCGGAGGTAGTCATTCCGCTGCTGAAGCGGGGCTTCCTTTGGATACTGAAAACGCTGGGTCCGAAGGCTCCGCTTTCCGACCGGACCCCGGGCCTGAGCTGGCGCCTCGGCAGTGTTTGCCGGGATGTGTTCTGGCGCTAGCGGCTGAAGTGCTTCGATGCCAATCAAAAGACCCACTTCGGGGAAACGTTTGCTAGCGGGGTGAACAAAAGCCCGTATTGGGTTGGCACCGTCGCATTGCTGGGCACTTTGATGGAACAGCTGTGGCCAGCTATGTGCAGTCCGGCAGCGGCAGTGGAGCCGTGGTCTGGGGAATTGAGCAGCGCCAGCTTCAAAATGGCAGCAACATTTTTCCACAATAGATTCTTGTACGGCCTCGCAGTCTTGGAAGTAGACATGCGGCGCCGTGCACGAGCCGCGACCCTGCGCAAGAAAGTTGTTCACGAGGCCAGGCTGTTTGTGTAGGGGGAAGTGCCAAGGCTGCTTGAAGTTTGCGAGTGCCTGCATGCTCGCCTGCAGGCATCGCGCGAAGTCCTGCAACTCCTCCGGAGTCTTCCTGGCAGCGGGTGGCTCGTTGAGTGGGCCCGGCGTTGCGGGGACCCTTTCAGGGGTGCCAGGGGAGCCACTACAAGCGGGTGACCGGGCAGCAAGAGCTTACGCAGAAGCAGTCCAGCACCTCACTGAGCGGGGGCTAGGGCAAGAAGTGGACATACTATTGCAGGGGCATGTAGCGAAAGGGTTTGCGAAGCAGCCATACTGGACACTGGCCCCTGCAGCACGTAAATTTCTGCAGGAGTTACACGTGCCTGCGTGGAGCTTTAGTTTGCATATGTACGAGCCAGCCAGCAAGCCGGCGGAGCCAGGTGTGGCGGAGGAACTTCTGTCAAGACTCGAGGCTTCTTTGGGGGACACCGCAAGCGTGGCAGGATGCGTTGAGGGGGAGGTTACGCATATGCGGACCCAGCCGTGCCCCAATGTCGACCGAGAGAAGGCAGAGGGCCAGAGGCAGGGCCGAGCAATGCAATGCATCGCCTTGCCGCCATGATGGAAAGGAATCATGAGGCAAGGTGCATGCGCGCGCAACTTGCCATGTCACGCGCAGGGCGCCGTCATCTCCAAAGGCGGGTCCAAAGATCTGGCAAAGGACCACGAAGAGGCGGGCCTGTCTGTATGCTGCCACTGCGGTGCCAAGTTCTTGCAGCTCACTTGACGCAGGGTCGGGCTTGACAAGGGCAAGGCTGTGTCGGCAAAGAGGCCAGCTGGGTCGTGCAGAGGGTAGTTTATACTATAGGGCGGGTGTTGTGTTTGCGTGGGCGTGAAGGGGCGCGTGTGCGTGTGCTTGTGTGTGCTGACTTTGAGCATGTAGCGTGAGAAACCCGCGCTCGTGTACCAGGCAGAGACGTGGCTACGGCGAAGTCTTGTATGACGGCACGCCGGACATCCCTGTTGTAACCTCCAAGGACTTCTACGCATTTCTCCGCAAGGAGCTCGCCAAGTCAGGCGCTGGAGCAGCGCGTGTTCGACTGCGGGAGCAGACAACCACACATGGCAGATCTATTACAGGTTTATGCGGCAAATGGCGATGTTCAGGCTGCACGTGGAAAATGTTGGCCACCCTGACGCTGAAGCAAAACGGCAGCACGAATGTTTTGATCTCGTGCGACGGCAAGCATGGGGAACAAGAGCAACCTCGTGGCACAGCCTTGTGGACGCGCGCGGAGGCGGCTGCAATTGAGAGAGCTTTTCCAGGCGGGGCGCTGCTTTCTGCCAAAGGCATCCGCAAGGCACTTGAAGAGGCCAAGATGGGGTTGAAGTGCACGTCGTTGCAAATCAAGCAGTTTGTCAGCCGCGAGAACAAGAAACGGCGATCTGAATCTGGCGACGCTGGAACAAGCGTGCAAGGCTTGAAAAATGTTGTGTCGTCGTGGATCGACAAACAATCCGCATCGTGGGTCGACGCTGCCTTGACAGAACTACGTGTACTGCAGGCGGCGGACTGTGCGGCAGGGCACTGTTTCTTTGCATGGTCTTGCCGCGGCTTCCTCAACAACCTCAAGGGAATCAAGAACAGATTGGTGTGCTTGGTTGTGGATGGGAAGCAAAAGATAGCAACTACGGGCGCGGTCATTGCGAGTGTAGGAGTTCTGTGCAGCAGCGAGACACCGAGGAACACAACATTGGCCCGCGACACAGAGGGCAAGAAGTTGCAGGCAGAGCTTCGCACCAACACGGTCCAGCTAGTTATGCAAGCCTATATGGACGCAGAGAGCACGGACAATTTTGTTCGGTTCTTTCAGCTGTTGTGCGACACAGCGCAGGCAAAGTTCGGGGTATCCTTGCCCAGCCAGGTGCTGCAGATGCACTCCGATTTCAGCGACTCCATAGAAGCTGCTCGGCGCAAAGTTTTCCCGAAGGCTCGCCCATGCCGCGACTACCCGCACATGATGAGGGCGGTGCAAGGGACGCTGAGTAAGAAGGCCTTGGAGGACTGGCGCGCCCGGACCTTGCACGCGCTACGCTGCACGCGATTCCTCCCAACAGCAGAGCTGTTCAGCGCTGTCTGGAAACTGATCTTGCCAGAGTTGCAAGCAGCTGGCAAGGGAGAGGTTGTGGCGTACCTGAAGGAGTACATCAAGGACGTGCGAAAAGAGGTCCTTGAGAAAAAGTTCAGCCTGCGGGACGGGCTTCTGGCTGAGACGACGCTGCTCTGGGCAGATTACTGGAGCGGGGTGCTTGGCACACACCCAGGAAGCGCCACGGGGACCCAGACCATTGAGGCCTTCCACAGTTTCTGGCAAGAGCAGATTCGCAGAAAAGCTCGGAGCAAGCCGGGCGAAGTTTTGCTCCGCATGCAGGGCCTGTACCAGAAGGAGTGGAAGGCACACATGGTGGCAGACTCAGCTACCCACAGGGCCTCACTGTGGCCAACAGAGCCAGATCCTCTGTTTGTAAGCGGCACAGGCCTGCACCGTCTGGGGCAAAACTCCGCCGAAGAGTACTGGGCAGCGCGACAAAAGCGGAATGTGCAGAAGGTCGAGGACAAGAGCACAAACGCAACTTTTTATGTGCTTCGAGCCCAGAAGACTGACAAGGAGGAGCCAGCGCAGGCAAATGTCAGTGAGGCCATTGCCCAGCGCATTGTGCGCCTCATTCTTCTGGCCGGGCCCGACCTCGATGCAGCCTTGAGTGAGAGTGGTGTTGTGAGGCAGGTGGACACAGGTGCGTGGAAACTAGATCTCGCCAGCTTGGACCTGCTTTTCAACTGCCACTGTGTCGTGATGATCGGAGACCTGCCACGCAAGTACTATGCACGCTTGTACAACCATGCAGATGTCAAAGACAAGGCGGCGTGCACGTGCCCAACTTTTGGCCAGCGGGCGCAGTGCTCACATGTGTATTACATAGAAGCCTTGACAGGTCAAATCGACCTGAGGGCCCTGCCTCAGAAGCAAAAGCGCGTCCGGCCCAAAAAAAGGCCAGCAGCGCTGCAAAAAGCAGTGACTGTTTCCTGAGCTGAGCGCCCAGCGGTCGAAAAGGTGACTTAGAGAGCTGTCTTGGCACGTGCAATCCTGATCAGCGATGGAGGAAAGCGCCAAAGGGTGAAGCCCCCAACTTACGGACTCCCACACGCTACACGAGCGGCCCGGCTGAGCGAGGCACAAAGAGCCATAAGGACAACGCGGGCTTGAGCAAATGATGCCGGCTGGGCCGGCTGGGCTGGGCAGTCTGACTAAGCGGGGCAGGCCAAGGAAGTGGCGGGAAGGAGCTCGGCCGCGTGTGGCTAGGAACAGTTGCCTTGTGGTAGAAGAGGATCTTTAGGTGGTTCCTGGATCTATGCCGGAGTCCAGTATGTCCATATGATGGATTGAGATTGGATTGTCCCTGGTGGATTGGACTAACGTAGTATGCCTGCAAGCGCTCCGCTGTGGCTCTTTTGTGTCTCGGTTGCATGCGTGCACAGTTGACAAAGAAAAGGCTTGAGCCAAATGGTTGCGTGTAGATCTATCATGTCGGAAAACAAGAACCACCCCCCGCCGCTAATTATTGGCGGCGCCCGATGTTATTGCTGTTTGGCGGCGGCCCGGTGTTATTGATCATTCTTCTTCCGTGTGGTTCCACTGGGGGGGGGGGCTGCGCCCCCCCCAACCCCCCCGTTTTTTTTTGGCGGCGCCCGATGTTATTGATCATTCTTCTTCTGTGAGGCGGCGCCCGATGTTATTGATCATTCTTCTTCCGTGTGGTTCTACGCTTTTTTTGGCGGCGCCCGATGTTATTGATCAGTCTTCTTCCGTGTGGTTCTACTGGGGGGGGGCTGCGCCCCCCCCAACCCCCCCGCCTTTTTTTGGCGGCGCCCGATGTTATTGATCTGTCTTCTTCCGTGTGGTTCTACTGGGGAGGGGCTGCGCCCCCACCCAACCCCCCCGTTTTTGTTGGCGCGCCCCCCCCAACCCCTCCGCTTTTTCCCCCCCAACCCCCGCGCTTTTTTTGGCGGCGCCCGATGTTATTGATCATTCTTCTTCCGTGTGGTTCTAAGCGGCGCCCGATGTTATTGATCTGTCTTCTTCCGAGTGCCCCCCCCCAACCCCCCCGCTAATTATTGGCAGCGCCCGATGTTATTGATCAGTGTGGTTCTACTGGGGGGGGGGCTGCGCCCAACCCCTCGCTAATCATTGGCAGCGCCCGATGGTATTGATCATTCTTCTTCCGTGTGGTTCTACTGGGGGGGGGGGCTGCAGTTAGTGGTGACTTCTCCCGCCGTCATACTGCGCATTTTGTCCCCACTCCACCCGCCACACTGCACAAAATCCCACCTACAAAATCAATAAATATCCCAAACGCATTGATACAATCATCGCAAAACAAATGTATCAACCCATTTACTCCTCAACTCCTAGTGGCTTTGCTAATTCACAATGCCTTTTCGATCCATTATGGCTACACTTTGATGTTTTCTTTGCTAAAAATACTTGACAGACATCGCACCACCACGAATCGCCACGATCGGCTTCCAACTTCTCCCCAGCTTCTATCATTTGATATCGTTTGTGCCGACTAGTGATTAAATGCTTCGTCCATTCTGATTTAGCTACTTCTACTTTGCAAAGATCACAAAGTCGTTTTTCTCTCTTCTGTTCCAAAATCTCGTTTCTATGATTGACATAATACTTATGACATTTCTCCGCCATTTTCTCGGGATGATTTTGTTGATAAGTCTTAGCAGTAGAAAGGCAATAATTACATACTTTTCTCCCATCCTTGAACTCTCCTAGTTCTTTCTGTTTTCTGCACCTACTGCATCTCTGTAAGTTTTCCATACTACTATTTACCATCATGTCTTTAAGTGTCTTCTAACTGCGTATTTTCTAAGCTCTCCCGGCGCCATACTACACAAATTATCACTCCCCCAAAAATGGTTAACCAATGGAAAAGGGAGAATTAAAACCGTTAACCCAAATCTTGAAAACAATCCCAGTAAAATATGGATGGCAAAATGCGGATGGGAAAGGCCTAGGTAGGAAAGCACCCCCACGGCTTATACGGGAAAATTGAATTATAATTACAACATATAAGATCTTACATGTTGTAAGTATAGCAAAACTATGGTATCAAAGGCTTTAATCTATGTATTTCCAGGGGTTGTATTCGTTTCTTCTGTTCCTTCCTTAACTCTTTTGTTGCTTTTACTTTGTCTCTGCATTCCTTACATGTTTTGTAAAATATCTCTTCCATTTTAATTCTGTCATACATTTTGTGAAAGTCCTTTCTTGGCTTTGCTTCGTCGCATTTACTGCAAGGATAAACCATTGTGCATCCTGTTTCTTCTTCATCATCTGTAGAACTCATAATATTAGTTATGCCAATATGTCTTTAAACGGATTTTCAGAGAAAAATGTTTTCAATCAAGAATAAACCCCTGTATCTTCATCATAGTCAATTTGATAAAATGTCATAGTTGAAGCCTTCGGTTCTTTAATTTCTTTGTTATTAAGTTTGTTTAAATAAATATTTCTTTTATTTTTATATTCACCATTGGTTCGATCTACTTCTTTACTTTGATAACTGTTTGTTAGCGGTTTCTTCTTTTCCATTTCTTGCAAGATTTCTAAAATATTCTTATTCTGTTCTAAAACCTTGTTCAGTTTTTTAACCATCTTTTCTAATCCTTCATCCATGTAAATATATATATTGTTAAAACCCTCTAGGCCCCGTGCCGAAATTGGGTAGCTGTTCTGAGGTCCTTGTTGGTGTTGCTTCCCAAGTTCCATTGATCGCCATTTGGCTCAAGACACAATTGAGGTTCAAGATCTGATGTGTGACTGCATACCTACGTGATCGGCATTAAGAGCGAAAACAACTGCTTGCGCTGCATTTGTCAGGACCACTGTTGTAACTATCATTCCTTCTCCCTTACAACGTTTACACGGGTTCGGCTATAACGGCATCGTCCGTATACACCTTTCTACGTGGTTGGTATTACAGCTTGAGGGTTCGGTGCATAGCGTCCCACGGGACGTCACCTTGCCGTCTCTTGACAGGTTATCAGCCGTAACTACAAGCTCTACACTGGACTGGGAGACAGCTGGTTTATTGCGGGTACAGGGACAATAAAGGAACGATAACCTACACAGTACAATGGCGTCTTCGGCGAGCCCAAGTACTGCAACTTTTGGGAACAGCAGCTCAGAGGGATCCAATGGATTGATGGCTCTTCCTGCGGTGATGGATATGGTTGCAGATTCACAGGATGAACCTGGGAGCGGAGGTTCCGCGCTATTCAGCGACATATCTACTCCCACAAGATCATGGAAGCAGATCGATGTTCATCAGGAGTCGAAGAAAAGAGAATCCCCACCGAGAAGATCATCATCTTCGCCTGCGACACCACGGACGTCGCAGAAGGGCGTGAGATCGACATCGAAGGGTGGGAGGTCAAAATCACCCACCAGTGCAGATTTTCGCGCCGTGATCAAAGAGAAGAATAAGATGGAGGTGGAGATCGGGGAATATCAGAAGACACTTGATGAAATGTCGGCAGCAATGGCGAATCTTAACCAAGAAGACTATGGAAGCACCATCCGGATCCAGGAGCTGGAAAGACGATGCGAGATTGCCAGCAAGCAGTCGGGACATCTAGTGAGTCACCACCAACACCACATGGCTGAGGCATGGCGCAAGTTTGAGGAAGAAGCCCAACAGATGCGCAAGGTGGAAATGAACGCATTTCAGTACGGGGAGAAGAAAGACATGGAGTCGAATATTATAATGCAACAGATGAGGCAAGCTGAAGGAACTATCATGGAGCAGAAGCGGGAGATTGCATTGATGAAATCCTACATGGCAAGCGAGAAGTCGGCCGCGCAGGAATCAGCTATACGTGCAAATCAGATACACCGTGAGGCTTCACAACAGATATCAGTTTATCAGCAACAGATCAGAGGCATAGAATCTTCTACATCTATCGAGAAGTTCAACGAGGAGGAGATGGTCCAAAGTCTGAAATCACAGTTGGAGCATGCACTCGTCAAGCGCCCCGAGACGTACTCTTTGGAGGACTCCAGGGAACAGCTGATGGCGAGGCTGAATGACGTTACAGTATTTGCGGAACAGGAATCGAAGAGAGCAGATTGCTTGCTTCGCGAAAAAGAAGAGATCGTCAAACAGTATGAGTCCGACGTGTCGATGAAGGACCAGATGATTGCTGTCGAAGGTGGTCATCGTCAGGATGCGATCTTGGAGTTAGCCCAGGTCAAAGAAGAGAAACAAGAGGAACGGTGCACGATGGACGAGAAGTCGAAGGAGGCTGAGTACTGGAGATTGACAGCTAAGGGAATGTACGATGAGTACCTCGAGGAGATGCATGAGCTTCAGAGACAACTGAAAGAAAGAGAGGCGACGCTCAAGCAAGAAGAGAGTTTTGTACGCCAACTCGATGCTGACAACGAGGAACTACGTGCACACAAGAAGCTGGAGACACAGGAAGCCTCCAGCAGCAAAGATGGACATCGTGAACGAGCAGTAGTGAAACGCGCTGAGGGAGGAACCCAGGCTAATTCAAATAGGATAGACAAGAAGGTGGCTGGGTCAGTCCCGTCATCGTCTTCAAATCAAATCCCTAATTCGTCGCTGATGCCAGGTTCGATCCTCTTTCCGTCTTTCGGTGATCCAATGATCGATGTACACCTATCCCAGATGCAAGGGGTTGTTGGGCATGTCCCACAATCCACTACTACGACTGGTGGTGGTGATGGGGGGGGAAACAACGGTACTACGCCCCCATTGGATTACGGTGGATTCCCGCCCAATGGGAATGGGCAGGGAGCGGGTCGACGTCAGTTGAGCCTCGCTGGTGGCGGAGGAGGACCTCCGGATGATCCACCCGATGATGAGGATGAGGATGACGACGACGAAGGAGATGAGGAAGACGAGGAAGAAGAAGAGGAAGAAGACGATCGGACACGGAGGAGACGAAGGAGATCGAGAGATAACCGAGAGATCAAGAATGATCGACCGA